TTCTCCAAGGCCACAGGTGACCCCCCGCCCCAGCGTGTCTCTAACCCTCAGAATGCAGCTTCAGCCTTCATACCACGTTTCCCCACAGACCACTTCCCCACATCCTGGTCCGGCTACCGCCCAAACCACCAACCACATGGACCGAGGGCATTTTGCCAACCCAGGCCAGAATACAATGTTCTCTCAGCTCACTAGCCCTCTAGCATGACAAAGCTTCATGGTGCACTATTTTCTCTTAACTAGATTTATTTGTACTAACAACAATTTTTTAGAATCTTTTGTAGCCTAAAAACGTTTTTCCTTGGAATATGTAAGAACTGTGTAGTAGATTTCAAGCAAACTTGAAACTTTTGCTTTTTAAGCAAACATTTGAGGTTCCAAGCAAACTTGCAAGATGAACCTGAGGGATGGTAGAATACTAAGAATACATTTTTGCTCTGGCTGCTTCCCCAGCCTTTGTTCCCTGTGTATATGTGGTTCAAGTATGCACTGGAGAAGGCTGAGGTCTGAAGCCCCTATGCACTCCTCCCTTGCACTTCCAATACGTTCCTAGTTTTTTAAATTAATGCAGATACGTAATATTAATAGTTATTTTGTGGTGCAGGTTTTGACACATTTCCCCATTTTCCTCACATTATGGAAGAGTTAATATTTGTTCTTAAAACCATGAGACAAAAATGCCTAATATTACTTTAAAATTACATTCCACAGGGCCAGGGATGTAGCTCAGTGACACAGCGCCTGCCTGGCAACTGTGAGATTCTGAGTTCGATCTCGGTACAAAAAAAAAAAAAAATGAAGGCCGGGGATTTAGCTCAGTGGTTCTGGCACCTTCCTCGCAAATGCAAGGACCCAAGTTCGATCCCTGGTACCAAAAAAAAAAAAGAAAATGATATTCTACACATATAAACATGTTAAATATCAGCTTTTTCCTCTGAGTACAATGATCGATCTTTGTGGGGGAAGGGGTTCCTGGGGTTTGAACACAGAGCTTTCACACAGAGCTACCTCCCTGGCCATTTAATTACTTTGTTTTGACAGAGTTTCTCTAAGTTGCTCAGTTGCTGGCCTCTAACTTGCAGTTCTTCTGCCTCAGCCTTCAAGGGTGTGGGATTACTGACATGTACCTCTACGCCTGGCTAAGATGTTCAGTCTTTTTATTTTTATTTTTTTTTAATTTCAGTGATGAACAGGGGAAACAAATTCCGCTTTCCTTCCTGCAAGTCAACTTTGTGCTCCAGACAGTTTTCTATTCCATAAACTAGATCATGAACCTTCAAGTATTAAAATAATTTGCACATGTAGACAGAAAAACAATTTCAAAATGGGCAGCAGCCAAATTAATGTGTTGTATATTGTACTTTGTACTTCCTGAAAAATTTATTTTAGTTATTTTTACATGTAAGACAGGAAAAAATGAAAAAGAGGGTAAGAAATGAATTTGGTGGGATGTTTTACCTGGAAAGTGGCTTCCTGGAGTCTCCTCTTTGCTTGCTTTCTTCCTCCTCACCCTGCCTACCCCCACCACACAATTTCTGTAGAGTTTAAAATAGAAACCAAAAACCATCACCTATTGTTAATCATGGAGTAAAGCTGATTACTTCTACCTGGGAACTTTGGATCACTATATAGCCTCATAGCCTGTTCAATAAGTTTCTTATTACCTATTGTCAAATAAACTGTGTGAGGCACACTCCTGGTCTTTGTCTCATTCCTTGAGTGCACATGTACCCTATAATGTCAGCGTCAGTGCCTAATGCTTAGGAAACAGAGGAACAGAAAAAACATTAGCTGACAGCCACCTTAGCTGTTACATACAATGAATTCCCAAATAGTTCAGGGAAAAACAGTCCAGTACTCCCAGTAAAACCCAGATGCCAAGCCCTAAGTCAAAGTAGCCATTTAATCCCTTGATAAGGACAGAATCATCTTCTGTGCTCCTCTGAGTGACGTCAAACTCTGATCACCCTCAGCTCCCAGGGAGGCCAGGGCGCACCCTGGACTGTCATCCTGCCCAGTCACAAGAGGCTCCTTGCAAACCAGCACCAAGGCCAGGACAGTGCACTCCTCTCCCCGGTACACTAACTGTCACCTGAGGGATCCGGGGAAGGAAAATGTGTGCAGATAAATCCTAGACAGCTGAGATGAGCTCACGAGAGCAGTGTGTACTGAGTGTGAGCACAGTGTGAACACTGCAGAGACTGTGAGCAGGGTTCAGCACAAGAGCACTGCTACCGAGCAGCATTGCCATCAACTGCCCGCCTGCCTGGCCCTTGTTCTCAGGGCAACACAGAGAGCACAGGTCCATGCCAGGCCTGCAGGACAGCACAGGAACAGGACGCAGCCCTGCCCTGGAGCTGCCAGCTGGGCCTCAAGGCAGCCAGGTCTAACAGAATGACGCTTAAGGAAGACAAAGAGCAAGTGACAAGTGCAAGCAAGACAGAGCAAGCGCTGAGTGACAAGGATGCAGGAGGCCTGGGAGAAGGCTGGCTGGGGGGGGCTTGGGGAAGGGTTCAGGAGAGCAGAGCAGGGAAGCTGTGCCTGGAGGGAGCTGGTGGGGTGGGGCAGAGAGGCGAGGGGGAGTTCAGCCCAGAACAGCAAAGAACTGGACCCTGGTGGAGGCAGCTGCAGGTGCAGGTGCACCGGGCAGGGACCTCATAAAGGGCAGCAGTGAGCGCCTGTGCCTGCAGAAGGCCAGGCTGTGCAGCCTGCTGGACTCAGGCCCAGGACTGACTGAGCCCCAAAGGGACCTAGGGAGAATTTCATTCCTTTTCTGAGCACCCCTTCCCAGATCTCATAGCTCACTGCCTCTGGCTGAACACAGCTGGGTTGAAGGCTCAGAGCAGAGCATTCTCCCTGCAGTGTTGCAAGGAGGAAGCAGAAACAGAAATATTAAATGGAAAGTGAGAAACAAGGCCCTATCTCAAAAAATCACCACAAAGTTGTAGAACTGACTTTGGATGTAACTCAGTGGCAGGGCTATTGCCTAGTATGTTGAAGACCCTGGGTTCAGTTGCCACCACCTCAAAACAAAACAAATAAGTGAACAGATTTGAAGAGAGGGATTTTCAAATTACCCAACTAATGGAAAAGAAAATAGACAAAAAGGAAAAGTAGTACCAAAGAATAGGTAGAAAATGAAACAACAAGGCAGGTGTGATTACACCTGGAATCCCAATGCTCAGGAGCCTGAGCCAGGAGGATCACGGTGAGTCCAGGGACAGCCTGGGCTACTTAGTGAGACCATGTCTCAAAAAGCAAAAGAAGGGCCGGGGATTTAGCTCAGTGGTTTCGATGCCTGCTGTGCAAGCACAAGGACCCAAGTTCGATCCCCAGTACCAAAAAAAAAAAAAAAAGCAAAAGAAAGAAAGAGAATCGAACAATAAAATGTTCAATTTAAATTGAAATATAATGACAATTACAGTAAATGTTCTGCACACTCCAATTAATGGGTAGATGTTGCCACGTACAATGGCACATGCTGAAATCTCAGTTACTCAGAAGGCTCTGGCAGGAGTATTTCAAGTTCAAAACCTGCCTAGCATCTGTGAAACCCCTGGATTCCATCTCCAGTTCCACACACAAAGGAAGATAAACATTCAAGCTGTGGAAAGAGTGGTCAGTTTAGGGCTGGGGTTTTAGCTCAGTGGTTCCGCTGCTTGCCTCTCAAGCTCAAGGTCCCGAGTTCGATCCCCAGTACCAAAAAAAAAAGAGTGGTCATTTGTATAGCACTTGCCCAACATGCTTGAGGCTTTGTATTTTATCTCCATCACCCTCCACCTCCACAAAAAAGGAAAGGTAGATTTAATTTTTAAGAAGATAAATCCCAACTATGTGCACCCAATACAAAATCTACTTTAAAGAAACAGGTTGATGTTAAAAGAAAACTGAAGAAGAAATATTGATATCCGAAAAAGTATACCTCAAAATGAAGGACATCATGAGGGATAGAGAGGGATATTTCCTCATCATAAAGATGTCAGTTCAAGACCGAGGATATAGCTCAGCCGCACCACAGCTGCCTGGCAAGCACAAGGCCCTGAGCTCAATTCCTGGTACCAAAAAATAAAAAATGTCAGTTCATTGTAAAGATGTTACAATCCTAAATGTGCATGCCAAGATTCCTCACACTTTAAATAATGAAAACAATGGGGCCGGGGATTTAGCTCAGTGGTTCCGGCACCTGCCTCGAAAGCACAAGGTCCTGAGTTCAATCCCCAGTACCAAAAAAACGAACAAACAAATAAAATCAACATTAGCTAAGATTCCAAAATTTTAAATGACAACAAAACTAAAGACCCATTGCCTTCATAAAAATAGATGTAAAACTCCTAAGCACAACATTAGCCAGTGGAGTCCAGCAATATATAAGAGACACTGTACCATGATCAAGTGGGGTTTATCCCAAGAATTTAAATTGCCTCACTATTCCAAAATCAGTCATTCTAAGTCATCACATTTACAGAAAAGAGAGGAAAACAATATGAATTCTCAGCAAAGACACCATTCATGATTTAAAAGCCCTCAGTGAACCAGGTCCTTCCCTGGCAGTGAAGTGGAAGTGCACTTCCCAGCCTGGGACAAAGCCTCCCAGCCCTCAGTAACATCACACATGGGAGGGAGGCCAGTGCTCTCTCCCTCAGCTCAGGGAGCAGTGAGCACCCAGAGCACTGGTTCTTCCCAGCATGGTGCTGGATGCTCTGCTCACAGCACACACTGAGGACAGGAGGCAGAGGCAAAATCCCTGGGAAGGAAGAGGTCAAACTGGTTGGGGTTTGTTGTGTGGTTTTGTGGTGCTGGGGATGGAAGCCAGGGCCCAGCACATGCTGAGCAAGCAAGTGCCCTACTGCTGGGCAACACCCAGACCCCCAAGACTCTTCATTCACAGTGTTATGATAGTGTCAACAGACATCCTAAGGACTCTGTGAAAAATAAAACCATTGGAGGAATTAGTAAGTGAACTTATCAAGGTTGCAGGATTAAAGGATATTTAGAAAGCCTTGTATCTTTTTCACTTTATTGACTTAATATCACAGGCAAGTATTGTTAAATCTACATTATAATATGTAAGTTATGGAATGTCTAAAGAATAAGCATCAGCCACAGAAAACCTTTGCCTTCTGTTGTGGAATAGGAGTTAGGGCATTTCCAGCGGTACGTGGGAGTTGCACAATGATAGGGACAATTATGAACTTGCTCTTGTCTTTATTTAGAGATGTGTTTGGCTGTAAAATTAACTAGGGGTGGGTTGTGACCATTAACAATGATTGTCAACCTGACTGCATTGAGAAACATCTAGCAGATGAGTACAGCATGCCCCTGGGTGTCTGTGGGGTGTTTCCAGAGATGACTGGCATGTAGGCAGCAAACTGAGGGGGAAAACAAGGCCTCACGTGGGTGTCATCTTCCAGCAGGTCCCCAGCCCAGAGAGAGGAGAAAGCAGAAGAAGAAGGAAGTTGGCCTGTGGTTGGGAATGCTCCATTCTGCTAGAGTGGGTGTGTCTTTTGCTACAGCCATTGTCTGTGGGCATCAAATTCCAGCTCCTTCAGCCTCTCAGTGTGGACTCAACCAGCAACTCTCCACAGAGCTTCAGGCCTCAGTCTCAGACTGGCGATGCGTCCTCATCTGTCCTCTTCTGGGGCTTCCAGCTTCTTGGACTGAGCAGCTGCTAGATCCCCTGGCTATGCAGGGCACAGCCAGCCTCTGTAGGCTGCCCTGGCCTGGTCTGTCAACCCAAATAGCAAACCCCCTGGCAAAGATAGAAAGATGTAGATGTATAATCAGATACAGATACAGATATAGATATAGACATGGATAATATAGATTTCCCCTGTTGATTCCGTTCCTCTAGAGGACCTTAAGCAATACACTCAGTGAATTTATACTGAGGAAAGAACAGTGACCTTGAAACTGAAAGTGCTTTACAAATTGCAAAGCCCCTCTTACATGTTATATTAGCTTTCATCACTCCAGCCGCTGTGACCGAGGTACAAAAGGGTGGTCTCTCAGGATCCGAGCCTTCCCCAGGTCTTAGCAGCTCATCAGAGCCGAGGGTCTTCAGTTATCTCCACCCATCAACGTCTACCCAACGTTCTAAGTCTGGTCCAAGAACACACTTCCCTCGGCCTAGGGCCAGGGGCCAGCAGAGAATCGACCTGGGTTCCTATCCCAGCTCTGCCCTTTAGTTATCCCACACTAGGACAGACACTGGTCCCCTGGCTGCCTCAGGCGCCACTTTGGGAAGAAGGTCAGTGTTAGGGTTGGAGTCAAAACTTCCAAAGGGCTCCTGTGGCGAGAGGCGGGGGTTTGGAAGGTGGTGAGATCCGGGGGCGCTCCTCTCACAGCTGCCTGTGCTGGTGGAGGTGGGGCCGAGGGAGGAAGTAGGTCACTGGGGGTGGCCTTTGAAGGGGGTGTCTCTTAGGACTCTTCCTGCTGGCTGCTTCCTGGTTATCAAGAGTTGAGCAGCTCCACTCCTCGTGTTGTTCCTGCCTTGGAGCCTGCGGACCTCGGACTGAAATGTGAGTCAAACCCAAATTTTCCCCCCATAAGCTTGTGTCTCAGGGATGTGGTTCCAGGCAGGAAAAGCTGACTAAACCTGGTGGAACGGCACCTCACCACTAGGTGCTCAGTCGCGGCATTGGCCCTGGGAGCCCTGTTCCCCGCCACCCCCTCTCCTGTTTGCACCCAGCCGGGGGACTTTGAGGGCCTTCTTGGTCCCAGCCTGGTGCCCACTGCCCTCAGCGTGACTGAGACAAGGACAGTCTCCCACCACCGCCGTCGTCCACAGCCCTGGTCGGTGCCGCTGTCTGGCGCCACCTCCTAGTCTGTATGTGGCGCTGGGGACTTGCGGGGCCGGCCCGGCGGGAGGCGGAGGGTGGGCCTCTCCTATACTTTCCTCCCCTCCCCTCTCTCCTAGTCGCCCTTACCCTCCCGTCGTCTCGCCTGTCCCTTCCTGTCCTCAGACCGGGAGACACTCAGGCTGCATCCCGCCCTCACCCAAGGCCCTGGGCCAACTGCACCCAGCCCACCCTGGTGGACCCTGGAAAGCGCCCCCGGCCGGCCCTGGGATGGGGGTGGAGTCAGAATCATCCTCGAGGTCCCTGGGGGACCCAGTGCCCGGAGCACAGTGCTCAAGTGGTGAATCATTTCGAGAATAACACCCACCCTGGCCCTGCCAGAACTCCGGCCTCAGCTGGGTCACCCACCAGGTCCCCGGGATCCTAGAAAATAACTGAAGGAGGCAACATGGAAGTGGGCAATGGAGAGACAAATCCAGGCTGCAGTCCTTTTAGGAGAGAACTAAGTAGGCACAACTCTCTCCTGGAGAGGAATTTGTTACCATGGTGACGGTAGATTTCTCTGGTGAGGGTGCTCAAAGCATCTTTTCTCACAGTCCCCTCTGCTCCAACCCTCTGTGGTTCAGCACTGGCCACCCGATGTGGTCAACACAGTGCCTGAGAGGCCTCCTACCATGGCCATGGCCGGGCTAGTGAAATGGAGATTCCTGAGGTCCAGAGGGGGCCTTGGGAATTAGGTGATAAATGTTAGCAGTTCATAGTTGTGAGCTCTTTCAAGTAATAGTTCATGCCAAAAATCCTAGCATTCCTGGACCAATGGGGAAAGGCCCTGAGAGTGTATTGTGATGGCTTTGACTTCCGTGGTGGACACATTCGTAGATTCCATCTTAGGAGCCACAGGGTGCTGAAGTCGGTTATAAGGTCAGGCATTGGCTTTGCTGAAGAATCACAAGAGCAGCAAACGTGCCTGCCCCTGTGCCCAACTGCACAGATTTTAGTCTCCCCAAACTGGTCCAAAAGAGTGGGCTAGGCCAGTGTGGTGTTGCATTCCTGAAATTCAGCACATGGTCCACAAGGCAGGGGGATCAGAAGTTTGAGGGCAGCCTGTGCCTTATAGTGACACCCTGTCTCTTAAATATAAAATAAAATAAATAGGCTACACGTTGGTTTTATGCATGTTCCTGATTTCATCAGGTGAGATTGTGGATTTTATCACTTTAATGGGTTTATAGTTATGTTCTAATTAATTTCAAGTACATTTACAGTGTCAGCCCTTTGTTGCAACTGCAGCCTTTGCACTGATGCTTGTGGGAACTGATAATTGTTACAAGTTTCCAAACTTCAGGAACAAGAATTTTACTGCTTCAACAATAAGGACTAAGAAGATTTTTGCTTTGCTCCCTCCAACCCCCACTACGTTTAGTTTAAAATTTCAAACTTTTGGGAAAGTGGCACAGAGAACCCCTGTACCGCTTCCTATGTTTTCTTTTTTTAATCTCTATTTTAGCAAGTACCTGCTAAGAAAGAAGACACATAACCATTCTATAGTATTTTGATTTTGCTTTCGTTTTTTGTTTTCTTTAGTTTTTGTGGTACAGGGGGTTGAACCTAGGATCTTTGCACTGTGCCACAATCATGAGCCAGCTTCACCACCTAACATCTGGTCCTCAGATTCCAGTCATGGAGAAGAGGCAGAGGATGTGAGTGTCAGGTAGATTATACTGAGTCTCAGAAAGAGCTGAGATGGGTGAAGGAGGAAAGGAGAAGGTGGTGTGGTGAAGCTGCCCGTGTCCATACATCCTACTGGGTGCCACCAATTCCTTTCTCCCTTGGCACTCTAGTGCCAGAGTCACAGTGAGCCTCTTCCACAGGTCTGCTTTGTCATCCACCTCCCTACCTCCTATTGGTAACCTTGACCCTCTTTTCCTCAGTGATCTGATCGAGGTTGGGATGAGTCCTCTTCACTCAAACCATCCCTGCAGGTTCGCCTGCCAGTTACTCTGCACCTGCTGTGAGTGCAAGGACCGAGTGGACACACACTGGCACTGCACTGTCTGCCAGGTAGGCACCAGGTCTTGGGAAAGAGGGGCAGCCCTTGAGGATCCCCATCACCTGAAAGATGATGTGGAAACATGTTACCTGTGCTGCATCCCCAGCCCTCGGGGTAGGATAGCCTGGTCTCATGTTGAGTGGTAGAGCTGAAGTGTTGCATAAAAAGGAGGTTTTGTAAGCCAGCTTTCTGACACACACCTGTAATCCCTGCACTGGATTGGGCAAGGGTGGAAGATCACAGATATAAAGCCAGCTCTGGGCCACAGAGCAAACTCAAGGACCACCTGGAATACATAACAAGACCCTGTCTCTAAAAACAAAAGGAGCTTTGGGCCAGGGATTTAGCTCAGTGGTTCCGTCACCTGCCTCACAAGCTCAAGGTCCCAAGTTCAATCCCTGGTACCAAAAACAAACAAACAAAAGGAGCTTTTCTAGGCCAGGCCGAGTATCTCAAATGATTTCAACAATTACATCCTGAGCGTTCACCTGCACCTCCTATGTGTTTCCCCAGGAGTACGACTTGTGTGTCTCCTGCTATCACACTAAAAGCCATGACCACCCAATGGAGAAACTGGGCCTGGGCTTAGATGATGACAGCAGCAACCAGCAGGGTGCAGCCGCCCAAAGCCCAGAAGAATCTCGCCGCCTGAGCATCCAGCGAAACATTCAATACTTGATCTTAGCCTGCCAATGCCGCGATGCCAACTGCCCGTTGCCTTCCTGTCAGAAGATGAAGCGAGTTGTACACCATACCAAGGGCTGCAAACGGAAGAGCACTGGCAGGTGCCCCGTCTGCAGGCAGCTCATTGCTCTCTGCTGCTACCATGCCAAGCGCTGCCATGAGAACTTCTGCCCTGTTCCATTCTGCTTCAACATCAGGCAGAAGCTCCGCCAACAGCAGCTGCAGCCCCGGCAGGCCCAGGTGCTGCACAGGAGGATGGCCAGCATGTAGCCTGCCAGTGTGATGGGGCAAAAATAGAGCCAGCCCTCCCCAGCCCCTGCCACACCAACCACGTTGAATGTGTGCTGCCAAAAACTCAGAAGATGCCTGAGCTCACCCCTTCTGGAAAAGCCCTGGTGACCTTCCAACTCCTCCATAGACTACTCAGCACTCTTGACTGGGCACCTACCTGCAGCAGTAGAAATAGCAATGCAGATTCAGACAGCAGTGGAGACAGCCCCAGATGGCCTATGGAAGACCAATACAATCCTTGATGTCCCAGAACTCCCAGCCCTCAGTGGACATGAGCACATCTGCCATGTCTGGAGATCCCAGTGGGCATCTGGAGCCAGGAATGGGGCCCCCAGCAATGCAGCCCTCTGTGTCCAAAGAGCACTGCCTCAGGCCCAGCATCGCCAATCCAGGGTGCGAAGGCCAACCATGACATCAGTAGTTAAACATGGGCAGCCCTTAAACATGGCTTCACACCCAGGATTGGGCCAGGTAGGTGTGAGCCCACTCACGCCACACACTGTGTCTCAACAAGCCTTACAAAACCTCCTTCGGACTCTCAGGTCTCCCACCTCTCCCCTGCAGCAGCAACAGGTGCTTAGTGTCCTTCACATCAACCCCCAGCTGTTGGCTGCAAGATCTAAGTATGCCATAGAACAACAGGATCCAAGTATGCCAATTCTAATCCATGCCTCTCACTGGACAGCCTGGCATGGCCCAGGGACAGCCAGGGCTGCAGCCACCAGCCATGCCAGGTCAGCAGGGTGTCCACTCCAGTCCAGGCATGCAGAACATGAATCCCATGAAGGCGGGCATGCAGAGGGCTGCCACGGCCCAGCAGCAGCCTCAGCAGCAACTCTAGCCACCCATGGGAGGGATGAGCCCCCAGGAACTCATGTGTCCACAGCAGCGTGTCTTCCCAGTTCCAGGACATGTTGAAACAACAGCAGATGATGCAAAAGCAACAGCAGCAGCAGCAGATTCAGCATCACATGCAGCAGATGCAACAAGGGAACTTGGGACAAATAGGCCAGCCCCCCGCCCCCGGCCTTGGGAGCAGAGGTAGGAGCCAGTCTTCAGGCCTATCAGGAGTGACTCCTCCAGCAGCAGACGGGGACCCCTCTCAGCCCAACCCCATAAGCCCCCAGCAATGCTCCCAAACCAGGCCCAGTCCCCACACCTCCCAGTTCTCTCTCCAATTAAGTGTGCTGTCCCCAGCCTGTCCCTTCTCCATGGTCACAGTCCCAGCCCCCCCACTCCAGCCCATCCCCACAGACCTGGACTCAGCACAGATAATACACTTGAGTTCAGACCTCTGACACAGTGCACCACACATACACTCAAGACATCTTTTAATATTTGAGGATCAAAAATTATTTTCCCTTGGGCCAGGGATTTAGCTTAGTGGTTTCATCGCCTGCTGCGCAAGCACAAGGACCCAAGTTCGATCCCTGGTACCAAAAAAAAAATTACAAAAATTATTTTCCCTTAATAAGAGTTTTTGTACTGAAAACAATTTTTTACAATCTTTCTTAGCCTAAAAGGCTGTTTGCTTTAGAACACAAGAACTGTGAAGTAGCCATTTGTGGTTTCAAGCAAACTTGCAAGATGAGCCTGAGGGATGGTAGAAGACTAAGAATATGTTTTTCCCCTGGCTGCTTCCCCAGCCTTCTTTCCCCATGTGCGTGTGGTTCAAGTGTGCACTAGAGGAGGCTGAGGTCTGAAGCCCCCATAGGCTCCTCCCTTGCATCCCTACCAACTTTTCTTTTTATTTTTAAATTCATGAAAATATGTAACATTTCTCACTTACTAGTACAGGTAGTTGGCATTTTTCTCTTTTCCTCACATTATAGAAGAGTATAAAAAATTTCCTGAAACCAAAGGACAAAAGGTGTTAATATGATATAAAATTACATTTCACATATTAATAAGTGAATTTTAATATTAAATATATTAAAATACCATTTTCTCTCCATTTGGTGCAAAGCTGTTCATCCTTATGAAAATATTTTTAAAATTCCTTTTGTACCCAGAAGGTAATTATTGTGGTCCGACATATTTTCTGTTTTGTAAGTCTCACCATAAAATTACAAGTATTAAAAAATTTTACATTGGGCTGGGGATTTAGCTCAGTGGTTCCAGTGCCTGCCTCGCAAGCACAAGGTCCCGAGTTCGATCTCCGGTACCAAAAAAAAAAAAAAATTTTATATATGTAGACAGAAAGATGACTTTTTCAAAATCTGCAGGGCCAGGGCTGGCGATTTAGCTCAGTGGTTCCAGTGCCTGCCTCGCAAGCACAAGGTCCCGAGTTCGATCTCCGGTACCAAAAAAAAAAAAAAATTTTATATATGTAGACAGAAAGATGACTTTTTCAAAATCTGCAGGGCCAGGGCTGGCGATTTAGCTCAGTGGTTCCACCACCTGCCTCATAAGCGCAAGGACCCGAGTTTGATCCCCGGTACCAAAAAAAACAAAAAAATGTGTGCAAAATCTACAGCACCAGTTGCCAAATTGATGTTTTATATATTGTGGTTTCTATTTCTTGAGAGGTTTTTTTTTCATTATTTTTATATATAACTATAAAAACAATAAGAAGATAAGAAAGGATTGGGTGGGATGATTTTAACACTCAAGTGTCCTTGGGTTTCTCCTTGCTTGCTTTCTTCCTCCTCCCCCGCTACCGGTTGTGAATAAACTGTGTGAGACACACAGAGGCTCTGACTCACTTCTTCAGGGTGCATCTTGGTCCCAGACAACGCTGGTGTAAGAGCTTCTTGCTTAGGAGTCTGAGGAAAAAGGAAAGAGCCCACAGCCACCTTAATTGTTGCATGTAATCAATTCCCAAATGCACTTAGGTGAATTTGTCCCAAGTTCAGGGAAACCCAAGTCCAGTTCTCCAAGTACCAGCCAGATGTCAAGGTGGAAGCCACATCAGCCATTTCACACCTTGACACAGGACCTTGCTCTGTGCTCCTCTGAGTGACATCAAGCTCTGATCACCCTCAG